CCCGGCGGATTCGACGAAGGAGCATCCGGAGGGCTTGCGGCAACCACATGTGACGACCCCGGGCTGGACTCGTCTTTGTCCACGGTGAAAGCCGATCCGGCGATCCACAGCGCAAAGTTGTTGTATTTCCTCACCGACCAGCATGGATCAGCTCCAGGCATGACGAAGCGGATATCGTCCTCATTTGGAAGGCTAAACAAAGTAGTTTCGCTTTCACAAACGAATGCTTGTAACACTCCAAAGAGAAAGGAAAAATTGAAATCGCATCATATGACCTCTTTAAGATCAGACAGATCAACTTTTATGCCCACATGAATAAGGCCCGCAGAGGGAAAGAAACCCCAAACATGTTTCCAATCTTAAATGTGGGTACTGTACTGGATGTCTGTAATAGACAGAGATGTTTCCCCCAGGAATGCATGCACACACACGGGATCTATTAGACTGCGGTTTATGGATTGATGTGCACATCTCCTCTCAAACAAAGCACAGACATAATTGCATTGTTTGCATTCACTAAAAACAGCTGCAAGAATTATGAGACAGTGTGTTTTGGTTTATTGCCATTTGTCGTGTCAAGAGGCAACAACAGCCCTGCTGAATGTCAGTGTATTAGTCGGTTATGTTATGTTTAGCACATTACACGACGACATACACCACCAACCATTCCCATTTCTCAGCAGATGTTAGAAAAAATAGTTACATTTGGGGACATTGTTCCCAAAATACATTTTTGACCATAGATCTAGATATGGATACATGTGATTCCATGTTTGACCAATACTTACTAAATATTAATACTTTGAAAACATATTAACATTATTTTTATTTAAAACAATGTTATGTAATATTATATACACTATCAGTCAAAAGTTTGGAATAATTAAGATTTATGTTTTTACTCGCCAAAGCTGAATTTATTTTATTAAAAATACAGTAAAATTGGTGATACAGTAATAAAATAACAATATTCCACAATATGACTGTATTTCTGATCAAATAAATGCAGCCTTGGTGAGCATAAGAGACTTCTTTCGAAAAAATAAAAAAATTGCAATTATTCCAAAGGTTTGGCAATGTAATATTATTTAATATTATATATTATGTAAAACAAAGACATATATAAATAATAACATAACATTTTTTTAAATAAAAAATAATAAATGTAAGATTCTATACACTATTTCTCACTAATAAACAAACTATAATTTATCATGTGAACATCCCTGTACAAAGGGTCAGAAATACTATAAGCAAAAAGGAGACAAACCAAATGCTAAGGCATTCTGAAATTCATGTTATTTTTTACATTTACATTTAGACATTTAGCAGACGCTTTTATCCAAAGCGACTTACAAATGAGGACAATGGAAGCAATCAAAATCAACAAAAGAGCAATGATATGCAAGTGCTATAACAAGTCTCAGTTAGCTTAATGCAGTACACGTAGCAAGGTTTTTTTTTTTAAATCATATAATAAATAAAAAGAAAACGGATAGAAAAAGAAAAAGAATAGAGCAAGCTAGTGTTAGAGGCCTTGTGTGTTTTTTGCTTTTTGTTAATCAGAAGTCAGAAAGTCAGAATTATAATTGTATAATAAATAAAAAGAAAACAAATAGAATGCAAAAAATTAGAGACGCAAGTGTTAGTTTTTTTTTAAGAAAAACAAGCAGTTAGTTAATAAATAGAGTGCAAGTCTAAAAGGGGCAAGTTTTTTTTAAAGAATAGAATTAGAATAGAGA